ATTACAAATTAAACAAAAATAAATAAAAATGTTTATTCCATATTTTCTACCCACATTCCAGAGAATTATCTTATGCACTCCCTGGGATGTTCACACAGCTACACATCCCACTCACAGATCTCTGATTTGTACATCTATGTAAGTACATTAATTTTTACTTTAGCTATTCAGACAAGCCTCTGTCTAGTGACAACTGATATAGCTGCTTTTCAGAATAGCAAATTTATTATCTCTAGAGCCTAACATATGTTCTAGCATATAGTAGGTGCACAATGAATACTGGATGAATGCTTAATGAATGAATGTTGAAGACTCTTTGTATATTTGCTTAGTTCGTGCAGACCTCCTTCACAATGCGTGCACATACTGTTATATCATCACTAGTGCATACGTCTCTAGGCAGGAATGGTTGTTAGGTGTACTAGGGCTTAAAAAGGCAGGGAACCTTGACCCAATGCTAGGGCATTTTGGTCCACCTGGAGGCTGGCTCACAAAAAAAATTTCTTTTTTTTTTTTGAGAGGTTTTCGTTATAGGGCACATGCGCTCGCCAGACAGAGAGAGACATAGAGACAGAAAGCGAGAAATCACTCCCCAGAGGGGATGGTCATGCCGCAATCCCTTCTCCTCCATTCTCCTCTCAGGATCTTGGGCACGCACGCACACGCGTCCAGTGTGAGTTTTAAGCCACCGTGTCCGGGACGCGAACCGCGGTCGACTACGTGGGAGTCCAGCAACATAGCCATTACGCTAACTGCTGGTTCCCCACAAAAGAAATTTCTACCCATCTGAATTACTATAGTATAAATAAGTCATGGCAAAATCTGGCTTCACATAGACTGATTAGAGCCATCTGAGACAGCAGAAGGGGCACTGGCAGTGGGAGTACCTAAGTAATGGTGAGCTTCAAGGCAAGTAGATATTATAACCCTGGAAGAGTATGGAGAAAGGAAGAGGGGCCAGAAAAGACATATCTGCACTGAGGTTCAGGGCACAGCTGTGTTTTATGCCCTCTACTTTCCTTCCCACACTCATCTTGGGCACTTTTATATTCTTCTAGCTAGCAAAGTACCATGCACATGCCAGTATTCCAGACACATATCCAGCAGGTTACCGAACAGTCCCAGCTACATCTCTGAGATGCCGTGTCATTTACATCACCAGCTCAGCAGCTTTCCCCAAAACCTGCTTCTCTTAAATGCTTCCATCTCTGTAGGTGGCACTACCACCACTCACTTAGAGGCAGGAACCTGGAAGTTGCTCTTGCCTTCTCTACTGCCCTCACCTTTGCTCTGTCTTCCGGGCTCTATTCCCAATGCCAGCAATATCCCTTGCCTCCTAATTGTACTCTCAAGCTCCAATCTCAGTGCCTCCAAATAAAGTCACCAGAGTGACTCGTGCCAATAGTAATTTGGATACTATATCCCTCTTGTTGTGGTTTAATGTTTGTATCTCCTTCATATTCATAAATTGAATCCTAATTACCAAGATGATGATATTAGGAGATGAGACCTTGGGAAGGTGATTAGGTCCTCATATGGCAGAAAGCAGAATACAGAGAACAGAGAAAGAAAAAGTAAGCTCTCCTGAGAGTTTTGTTTTGTTTTGTTTTTAAGTAATCCTGGGGCCAGGAGGTAGCATGGTGGTTAAGGTGCTGGACTAACACACGTGGATGGCAGTTTAAGTCTCGGAACAGGCAGCTGGAAATTCATGTCTGCCACATGTGTGTGTATGCCTAGGAGGAGAGTGAAGGAGAAGGGATTGTAGCATGGCCACCTCCCCTGAGGAGTGATTTCACACTTTTTCTCTCTCTCTCTCTCTCTGTCTTTGTGTCTCTGGTGAGTGCACGTACCCGATGGCAAAAATCTCACTTAAAAAAAAGCAAAAACAAAAAACAACACTAGTTCCATTCATGAGGGCTCTGCTTTCATGACCTAATAGCCTCCCAAAGACTCTAACTTCTAACCATCCTATGGGGGAGGTGTAGGATTTCAGCATACAGAATTTGGTGGGAAGCAAACATTTAGTCCATAACATTGAGTGAAAGATGTACTCTTCAGGAACCCAAGCTAATCAAAATGTAGCATGGGATCAAGAAAATGGGCAGCTGGGGGTACTCTCAGGCACCTACACTCTGCTCCTGGCATATCAGATACCCAGCTTGTGGCACTGGGACTGCTTTAGGTCTTCCAGGGGAAATGGGAGTTTGCCTAAAAAAGCAAGATAGCCTCGAAGTCGGACAGACCTGAGCTCTACTTCTAGGGGGACAATCCTGGCAATTTGTACATAGGACTGATATAAGAATTCATTGGAATAGTTTGTGTAAAACACATAGTATGATCACGTGATATTTTGATGTGGCCCACCATATTTTGATGTGGTTCAGTCCATAATCTAAATTGATTATGCTATGCTCAACTGTTGCCATCGACACGCTTCTGCTGTTCAGTAGTAATCACAGTTTATATTTTTGAGCATCTTTCCTCATATCCAAATTCTTCCAAATGCTATACGAGATTACCTAGTTTAGTCCCCATAAAACTTCTTTTATCATATTCACTTTATGAGGCAATCATGGTCTAACCTCAAAAAGAGACACAACTGAACAAGATCCAGCTTGGTGAGGCTGACACAATCTCATCTGTTCCTAGGACTTGTATTTGAAACTTCTTTCTTCTCCATGACAGGGTGAGATGTTTACATTAAATTCAAAGCGCATTTATTGAATCACACACCATGTGTGCAACATTAAATATTGGGTGAAGTAAATATCAACAAATATTTGTCATTGACTGTGACTTCCTAGCAGAGCGCTATAACTTCCCCATATTCCTAGACTTTAATATCATTATGAAAAGATGTTTGAAAAAGCAAAGACACATACAATAAAGATAAAACAGAATTTTCCAGAGCAGCGGCTTTCTAACCAATTCCTTTGAGTACAGATTATGCTGTGGTAACAGGGAGACTTCCCAAATGCTTATTCTCTGAGAGTCATGAGTCACTCTCAGAACTGATCTGCTTCCATCAAGCAGATTCCAAATAGTCCAGGCCTGTAGGTAAGGTAAGTTATCAGGAGAGTTCAAGCACTTTTATACATACCATTTCTAAGATCTTCAAACTAAAACAAAACAAAACAAAACAAAACAAAAAAACAAAAAAAGCGTCTGTTAGTTACAGATAATTGGGCAAAATGTCATTTGACTTTTGGGAAGTATGGTCTGAATGACTATCATCAGAAACTTTGAAGACTGGTTTTATCAAAATAATTGAAATCAAGTTGAATGCCCTGACTCTTAAAAGGTAAGAAATGGATCTTTTAAATCAGTTGGAATCAATTCCATTGGACTTTTTGAAGAAATGATATTCTCGGGATATTATTAATGATACATCTAAAAGACAGCGAATCCAATGTACTTTTTCTCCAATTTTGATAACATTACTGTGATTCCTCTCTGTCCTAGAGAGTCAAAGAATGATTCATGCAAGCTTTCTACGCATGAATTCTGCATTTCACTCACAGTGAGATAAAGAGCAAAAGTTATCTGAATATATTATTAAAGTACTTTGTATCTGCAAATTACTTTGCACTTGTTATTCTTGGCTCATCAGATTAAGCTATAATCAGGACGTTTCATTTATAAACGGAGAGTTGACCAGCTTTTTACTTCTGACCGCAAGTTTATCTCACCACAGATGCCACTGAGTCCAGGGAGGCTTCAGCCTGCAACAGGCCAGACTCAGACTGAGACAGCGCATCCTCCAGGGGCACCCTGCCTGCCTGGGTGTCACTAGGGAATTGATGCAATTGTAACTGGTTTGACCTGATCAGGGATCCTGTTTGGCCTAAATAAACACGTCAAGGATTAAGAGAGTTAACGCTCAGCTGGGGGTCAAGGTTGAAATGCACATTTAATCCTACCAGAAAAGTTACACATTGTAGTTTTTTCTTTGTTTTTGTTTAGTTTTTCCACTTTTCCTTTTCCACCCTGAAGGTTCCTGTTTCCCTCAGGGTATTTCTAGAGCTTCAGTTGGTCTAGGGGTCTAATTGGAACAAAGATTCCAGGAGAGGGGATGGGTGACTTTCTGGACACTATTGGGGGACATCTGGGCAGTTAGGACCAGCCACTCTATCTTCTGTCTGAGCTCTCAGAGGGCCTAGCCCGAGTGGGGAGCTTGCACCAGCCTGGTCCACTTTGGCCTCCTGACCCAGACAGCATCCTGCGCGAGGGAGCCCGCGGTGAAGCCCAGGTCTCGCCGCCCCCCTCCTCGGGGCTGCCCGCCAAGAGTTCGAGGCCTCCCCGATCCGGATGTGATGAAAAGGAGCAACAGAGGAAGAAGTGTTTCAGGAGTGTAGGAGTGGTGGAAGGGTGAAAGAGAAGCAGAGGGAGAAAAGTCCCCTCGGACGGGAACTGGCCGGAGTGAGCTGGCTGGAAAGAAGGGGCGGGGTGCATAGAGTCAGAGCAGCGGCTGCTGCCGCA